CCCTGTAATGTATTACATTGTAGGTTTCAAAAAAGACAGGGTCACTGTACCTAGATCACTTTATTGAGATGAAAAAGTCTGAGTGGCTAGAATATCCCTTTAACAAGCTACACTAAACACCTTTCTCACAATAGACAATCCAATAAATAAAATAAGCTGAGGTTCAGAGTGTGGATCGTTTTCTTGTTTTTTGAGGAAGAAACACCCCAGGGATCCTGTCGTTTGACTTGGCATCTCCCTGATCACAGCTTGCCATGTACAGGCAGAATCAGAATGGACGTTGTATGGATTTTTATTTGGCGTCTTAAAAGCACGTCAATATCTCGAAAAAAAACACAAAACATTAGAATGTGGGAGTTCAGATTGGCCACACAATGGCTGATAGATTTAAGCACCCTGCTTTCATATAACATCGGGAGAAATTGTTGTACTCCCCTTTAGATTCATGGCTCCCCCTATCTGAATCTACTGCCAAATGCTCAAAGCCTTTCATTATCCCACAAAGGTGCTAATGTAGAAAAGCCTCCAGTCGTACAATTTCATTCCCTGCTCTCTGATTCTGCACAGGCGAACACAATTAAGGCAAAGTAGTGTTCAAAACGTTTTTTTTTGTGTGTGTGTCTAAAATAGCTTGTGCTAGCTCTCTTTGCTCTAACTGGCATGCTGATTTAAAGGAGCACTGAATGGAAAGATAACTGCGATTTATATTTCGAGCGCTGGCCGTGAGCTTTCTAAACGTGCCGCACATTTATCAGCCGGGCCAGATGCATGGCACTGTGTGACAGAGTGGTGGGGAGCCATTTCATTTAAAATGGCTGGCTCTAGAGGAGTGCTCACAGGATGAATAGGGAGCACGAACAGGCAATTTATACACCGTGCTGGTAAAGCTGCAAGGAAATGAAAGGATCGGATAAGAGGGAAAAAAACATTGATGCTAGCGCCATGAACATAGTAATCTCTGTATGCTGCACATGTGTACACGTGTTCCTTTCAGTTTCCACAGTTACTGTCTAGGTGCAGTTTGGTGATCTATGCAAGCTGGGCGGCACACGGTGAAGTTCATAGTGCGCAGTTTTTGATCACCCTGTTTAACATGAAATAGGCATAGGACAGCGCCTTTCAAACGCTCAAATGTGAGGGGAAAAGGGAAGTGACAATCTGTATATTTTTCCAACATGCCACGGAGAAGGGTCTAATTTGTAGCTCACCCCCATGTCCCACAGCCTTTTTGCAGATCACTGATTCATTTATTTTGGTATTTATTATATAACGACAGCAAATTCCGTAGCGCTGTACAATGGGTATTTACCGCTATGAGTGCTATCAGAGCTGACACTCTGTGGACTTCTTGAATTCATCATTCATGGGGGAGTGGTGGGAAGGAATGGAGATTTTGGAGGGGATGGAGCAAAGGATGGGGGAGGGATTTAGTGAAATCGACCAATGGGAGACAATATGCATATTATATATTAAACCATGTTTATTCCAACACGGATCTCATTCTGCATGCTAGATGAGGTCACTGAATTATCATTTTAACGAACCTGGACCATATGCTTTAGAAGTTAAAATGTCAAGGCATTTGTAGTATAAATAGATGCTGCCAGGGCTTTATCCATCTCTGAAGTGTTAGGGCCTATCTGAACAAATTCATCAAAATAACGTCATTTAAAAACTGCAGGTGACTTGTTTGATTATAGTCCCATTAGAAAGTATTTACATAAAATTCACACAATGTAAATGGAAATTACAAATAATCTGTGCAATATAACAAATTACAATAAAAGGACATAACACTTACTTAAATGTACTGGCCAAATTAAAAGAAAAATAAATCCCTGTTTAGTAGATATACCCAAATAAAACATGCATGTAATAAATTATGCATTTTAATTGGGGGTATGTGTACAAACAGTTTTCTTGTCTGCAGCCTTTGGAAGCCCTCCCCTTCTAACCACGCCCAGACGTTCTGTGGCTGTCCAATCACAGACTTCCTAATGCAGCTCAAAGAAGTCTTTGCAAGGAAGATGCTCTGGGTAATTGCTGCCTCTTGAGTTTAGCTCCATTGAGCTAAACAAACCAGGAAGTAACAGGGCCAGTTGTCTGATTTATTAAGTGCCAATTTCTCTCAAACTGTGCACCTTTTCCTCAAATGAAAAATTAAAGGATTAATCATGTACGATTGATATATACTTTTCCTCACAATGAAAGTATTAATATGGTGTTATCGTATGATATACGAGAACAATAAAAGGGTTAATACTGCATTATATTATGATATCCTATGACTGCTAAAAGGGTTAACACTGTTCTTGAATGATGTACTATGACAGTGAAAGGCCTAATATTGTATGATATAGTATAGTAGCGAAAAGGTTAAAACTCTAAATATTCTGATCCTGACAGTGAAAGGCTTAGTACTAATGCATGATGCCATATTGAGGTAAAAAGAGTTAATATTGTCTGACATACTATCAATTAAAGGTTTAATAATATATCACTGTGTAAGTTACAATGATGGCAACAGGGGTTTATACTTTTTTTTACTATGACAGTGAAAGTAATATTGTATTATTGCGATATACTACGATGGCGAAAGGGTTAAACCTTATTCTGCTACATACTCTGACAGCAAAAGGGTTAATGTTATTATAAAATATAGTCTCATTCTGACAATGAAAGGGTTAATGCTGTATGATTGTATGACACAGTATAGTCAGTTAAGGGGTAATACCGAATAGTTGTATAATACAATCTTATCCTGATTATTGTGTGACTTCCTGTGGTTACTTAATATTGAACTGGAGTATATCTTGTCCTGACAGTGAAAGGATTAATGCTGTATTGTTGTATAATATACACCTATCCTGGCAGTGAAAGGGTCAATGCTGTATCGTATAATTTACCCAGATCCTGGCAGTGGGAGGGTTAATGCTGTATCGTATAATTTACTCAGATCCTGGCAGTGGGAGGGTTAATGCTGTATCGTATAATTTACTCGGATCCTGGCAGTGGGAGGGTTAATGCTGTATCGTATAATTTACACGGATCCTGGCAGTGGAAGGGTTAATGCCGTATAATTTCCCCGGATCCTGGCAGTTGAAGGGTTAATGCTGTGTTGTATAATTTCCTCGGATCCTGGCAGTGGGAGGGTTAACGCTGCATTCTGCAAGTCTCTGTGGGATTCCTGTAAGATTCTGATTCATACAGAGATTTGATAAGTTATCCACAGGAACCCTGCGTATTCTTTAGACAACCTTTTATTCATATACACGCACGTGTGCGCACACACACACACGCGCGCTTAATACAGCCTACAGGAATACGCAGAAGATTAGTAAAAAACTAACAACTAAATCACGCAAAACGAATAAAACAGCGATTTTCTTTTGCCAGCTAACAGTCTATTTTGTTAAAACAAAGGGACGGTCACAGTTTTCATCTTAGTGTGAGTTTACTAAATATGTTCTCGGTAAAGATGAATAGGACATTGCACAGTCAGTACGTGTGTAACAGGCCATCCTCATGTGAAAGACTAATAATCCTCTTTAACGAACATCTCTAAATTAGCCGTGAAATGCTGTGTAAATAACAATAAGCGCTTATTGCCCCCTCACTCACTGTGCCTGGAGGGGAATTGCCTCCACCAAGCTGACAATCACAATTCCCAAAAGAGTTATCCCTCGTGAAGAGAGAGGGCGGCAGGCAATTTGTTTCAGTCTGATATGAAAATAAAGGTCCCTCTGTATATTGTAGATATTTGGTGTTATCTGCTGAAACATACAAACATCTTTACATTCTAGTTTTATTTACATGGAGCTACAACATTATTTACACGTTTCTTATTGTTATTCCACCAAAAACCAACCGGGACTCCATCAGCATTTCAACTCCCAAACAGGTCCCTCTCTGATTATCAACTTAGGAAACAGAGGAATCCATAGAATTTAAAACCCGTTCTGTTACTGGTCCAGCCGTTAGGTCTGACTTAAGACCTTGTCACGTGACCTCCATAGAACACAACATCCATCGGTTTAATGCAGAATCCGCAAAGCCCAGATGGTGGCATCCCCGCTGGGGGTCTGGTGCCTGGGAGGAACAGGTAAAGGGGAGTTCTACTTCTTCCAGGCGGGTGGATGAGATTACAGCACTGATGTCTATGGACAATCCTGCGAGACCCTCCGTAGACACAGCCAATTCGCTACAACCGTCACTGATGACAGCTGGGGGATTGACAATGCTAGATGGTGGTAGCTCTGTGTCAATATTTGTCAGGCAGAGGAAATATACATAGACAAAATAATCCCTACTCTGTCTCAGTATCTCTCTTGACTGGGTTGGAAATTCCAACACAGTCAAATTGACTATTTCATAAAGATTCTGTTTTTAAGAAATAATTTTTTTGGTGGTAGGGTGTGGGGGACAGTGTCACATTAATCTTCAGTAACTTGGGGGAAAGAAAATAAAAGCAGAACGTTTAGAAAATGACTTTTCTTTCAGTTCAGTGACTGTAAAAGGTACAATGCACAATGTCAGACTAATACAGCACTGTAAATAATAACAGAGAACATACAAAGTCTCCAAATGGACTGGCACAGTCTAAAAAAAACCCCATTAATAACAGGTTTTAGAAAATATAGCAGACAAAACGAGAAAAGTACTAGAAAAATAACAAAGGGAATAAAAAGGTGCACAGGGGATTTGGCCATATTTTACCATTAACCTCATTCAGCCTGTTGTATTAAGCTATGGCAGTATCACCAATGTAGGAATGACAGGTAAGAGAGCATTACACCTGAGAATTTATAGCTGGATACATTGTCACCAGCAAGGATCAATAAAGAGACCAAAAGACAGGGGTCAAAAAGCTCCTGAATGAAGCACATCTCCATCAAACGGTATGTGGGTTGTCTGATAAAAGATGTAGGTGGAATGTTTATCCAAAATAAGCTGACAGCTTGCATACTATTGGTAGAACTTGCATTTTTTTTCTTAATCGAAGCTTGAGGTTGTTTAGTTCAGTGACACAAAGTATCACATCAACAGATCATTGGGAAGCAAAGAAAAATGCCAAGCTTACGGTGCGTCTAACCTTAGCCTAAAATGTCTCGCTGTACTCAAAGGAGGAGGTAGAATAGTAATGGGGTAGTTTTACAGTATAGTGACAGATTAGGCTGCGAAAACAAATTTAATAACATTGTATAACCGTTAAATATTACCCCTAGATTTTCGAGAAATTGGTGAGAAAAAGAAAAATGAAAGAAGTAACCCATGTAAAAGAGCTGTGAGTATAATTTTGCAAACGGCAAGTCACGGTGCTGGTTATCTGATGTGAGGGCAGCTAACCTTCCCCAAAGGAGACAATAAATCAGTAAATGTGATCGGCAATGTGCAATCAATCACGGCTGGAAATATAAACCACAGCATAGAGAAAACCGTTTACAACCAACAGTGGACGTAGAAGATCTGGCACTGGGAGAAGAGACGGACAGGACATCCTCAGCAGGGGAGTATTATGGAGGGAGACCTAATGATAGGACAGGCAAGTTTACGCTGCTCTTATTTTTGCTACATGCCTGTAACACTGTTATTCAACGAGAGGATATATTATTGCAGGCCTTTATCAGACATTCGAGCTCGGAGCTCACTATCCACATTGTGGGGCTGTCTTCTCTACTGAGACGCAGGACTGAATCATATACACATTTTTTATTTCAGTGATATACACAGTATTCCCTATTTTTAGAGCTGTATGCATTTATTTGTGTAATCCTGGTTGATTTGTGTCAAGGAGGACACTTTATTCAGATATTGTGCAACAGTAAAGTCTTGGTTTGGGGTATTTAATCATGGTATTCCAAGGGGTGTATTTCTTGACTTGCAAGATTTTAGTTTATATCAGCGCAACTTGCCTTATTACACATTTATTCAGTGGCTACCTATCTGGGTAAAAACTGCAGCGAGTGTTCTCTATAATGGTTATCCTGACGTAGGAGCTGAACATGCACTATATTTCTATATATCTAGACAATCAAACCGTCAAAAATATGAAAGCTGAAACGGACAGGGGCATGATTTGACCATGTAACTTGCAAAAAGCCTGGAGTAACCATACACTGCATGTACTGCTGAACTTGTATACATAGCTGAATTTAAATGACACTAGAAGCACCAAAACAACTTTAATGTAGTGGATTTGTATATAGATCATAACCACTCAATTCACTGCCATCTAGAATTTGTTTATACAACTCTAGTCACTCCTCCCTGCACGTGACTTACACAAGTCTCCCTAAACACTTCCTGTACAGAGAGGTCTAATATTCAAAGTTCCTTTATTGCACAGTTTGTTTTTAAATTTAGAATTTCTTATCTCCTACTCTGCTAATAGCCTGCAGTAGTTTGTGTTCAATTAACAGAGCAGGGGCGTAAAATGTCTAAAGTAAACAAACTGATTGGAAATGAAACCATTTTTTTCATGCAGGCTATATCAGTCACAGATAGGGGAAGGGTGTCTAGGACTTTATAAACAGAAACAGAAGTGATTTAGCTCCTAAATGGCAGAGAACTGAGCAGTGAGACTGCAGGGGCATGTTCTATACACCAACACTACTTAATTAAACTAAAGTTGTTTTGAGACCATAGTGTCCCTTTAGGTGTTTTTTTATTTATTTTTGTAAATGAACTAGCCTGCATCAAAACAAGCTTGAAAAGAAAACAAAAACCTCTAAATTCAGGTAAACTCGTGAGTTCAGCAGAGCAAAAATATGTATTATCATTAAAAATAACCATTTCTGTCAGCAAATAGGGAGATAAATGGACACATGAAAATAATCGAAATATCCCACAGATTAATGATCTAGGTTGCTCTATGATGTCTACATTTGCAGAGTGGTTGTGGATGGTGTGAACAACATTAGATTCACAGCATACTGAGCTGGTTAAATATTTAACTTTGACATAGTAATGCATTCCTTTTAACATTCCCACAAGTAAGGAAATAAAGGGACACTCTAGGCACCATAATCACTTCAACGAGCAGCAGGGGCCAGACTGCAGGTGCCGAGAGACCATTTTTTTGTGTTTAAAAACAGGAACACTGATCAGTGGGGTGGTGCCAAAAAAAAAAAGATTAAGTACCATGCCCACTGCTCATTCGTGTGTTTTCCCCTGTGTAGTGTACATTTCCCCATCGATTCCTATGTATTTCGTATAATATGCCCTGTCGACCAATCGGGAGCACCCATGCGAACTAAACCTGTTAGTCTCCCGAACGCAAACCATTAGAATGTTCGCACCAATCAATCAGAACGTTCACACCAGCAACATAAGTGTGAAACCGCAAGGGAAGTAATTAATGAGTGCTCCCCTGTGTGGCCGCCATTTCATATGGGTGAACGCCAGCCAGGTGGAGCATTTGTATACCGAAAGGAGACACTTCCCTTGCGGGGTCTTCACCCTGGCACTCCACGAACTGTTCCCTGAGGTTGGTGGAGACAATGTTGCTGGTGGTTCGGATCGCCGTCCCTGCTCCTAACGGAGCTATAATCACCGCTTTCCCCCCCCATAAGTGGAGGCAGCCACCGGAGAGAGGCACAAGCCCGAGGGGCTGTGAGCCAGCTTCACAGCCACAGACTCCTGCTAGCCACCTGGAAGTCTGTGCCGACCAGTCAGGAGAGGGAGCCCCCATTTTTAATCTGGGTTTGCACCATTCTCCTGATGGGTCGGCATGAGTGAGCACTGATTGGTCGCTGCGGGGCGCAAGGGACCAACCAGAGAAGGAGTGCCCATTCAAATGGGGTTTCGCGCCCTATCTCCTGATTGGAGAAACCCCTTTCTTCCCTGAGCGCTGATTGATTTTGAGCCTTTCAGCTAACTGGCCGTTGATTGGTTTAGGCGCGAAGCATGAATTCACTGGCCTAAACCAAGCAACGCTGTGGAACTGATTTTGGGGATGTACAGAACCTCAAGCCCCAGACTTTATACGATGATTTCTCGGGCTCTGTACATCCGATAGCCTCGCTATTTGCAGGCAACCTAGAGGGGCCCGGGGCTATCCAGGGATGTATGTTTCATGTGTGTACCCCATTCCCTTCCAGGGGCGCGGAGCCCCTAAGTGTTCCCCCATATATGTAATGTGTTTTACTGTTTGTAATATGTTTTAACGCATGGGTCCTCAAACTCCGGCCCCCCAGATGTTGCTGAACTACAACTCCCATGATTCTCTGGATATCTATGTAATTCAAAGAATCAACGGAGTTGTAGTTCAGCAACATCTGCGGGGCCGTAGTTTGAGGACCCATGTTTTAATGTATGGAACTGTGTCCTGTTGGTATATCACCCAGAGCGGGAGATGGTTATCTGCAACCCACCCCCCTTCTCCTGCCTGGGATAAAGGATTGTGTTGAACTGCGGGGGTCTGTGCTCAATAGCTGTGTGTACCAATAAAGGATTGTCAGTGTCTTTACCTTCAGAACTGTGTGGCGTTCAGTTACTGGGGAATGGATGCCTGCTTGTTGTAAGGGTTCCTGAACGGCTGAAGGAATGATTTAGCGGAGGTAACCAGTCGGGTTACCAGGGGGTCCACTACAAAGTTCATTACAAAAATTACTTTCAAAAGCCTCCTTTAGTGTATGCACAATTAGAGAATACCTAGAAAGGTAAATCACGATTGTAAAAGTTATTGGGTTTACTCACCATTTACACCCTTTAAGAAAATTCTCAGGCAGAGCCGAATATTCCTTCCAGGCGCCAGTTAGTTGCCATGGCTGGTGAGAGAAGTCATAGGAAGCCGAACTGAGAGAGAGAGAGAACAATTAGAAAAGTATTTAAACTTAGGGGACTTGATCTGCATCTTTCCCTAAAAATGTAATCTGCTCCAAGAATTTTTAAGTTTTAAAAGTTGCTTCACCAGATGCCCAAATTGGCACACTGACTTTTCAAATTCAATTGGTGAGTGCATTCTAATTCTAAAAAGATTGTAGGTGAAACAGAACCAAAATAATCACCAGGGGATTACCAGAGGGACACACAATATAGGTCAGTCAAGGGGAAAAAATAATTCAACTAATAATTTGACCCAATTCCTGCTACTCAGTTGTCAAACTGCTGACACTATCATTCTAAATTAGATATAAACATGGTTTTAAAGAGTTGATACTTTAGTGAATTAGTTGAGCCTTCACCAACACTTCACTAATGGAAGGCAGACACTTAACAGGTAATTCCAGGCATCGTAACATCTACCATTAAAGAATAATAGCCCAGAATATTCCAATCTGGCTGATTTCCCTATCCAGTAATAAAACATTTATATATGATATCGTTCATACACATATTGTTCCTCTGCCATCTGTGAATCTACAGATTCCAAAGGTGTCACCTCCACGTCCTCATCCGCAGCATTGGTGACGTTTCCAGTGGTCTCTTCGGTACAGATCTCACACACAGGGACCTGCTTGTCAGGGGAAGATATATTTATTGATGGGTCCTGAAGACAGAATTCTCTCTCTTCCCCTTCCCTCTCTTCTTGAATCTGTTCCTTCAAGGCCAACATATCTTCATTCAAGTCTTCATTACTAGTTGTGCAGATTATACTCTCCTGTCCAGCCACGGTTTCCATTCCCTTACTATCCGCATCCACATTAACAGATTGTCCTTCATCAAACCAGATTTCATCCTCCGTTCTATAAACACTGCTTTCCATCCCCTGCACACAACTCTCAACCTCATTAGCAGAGGAGATTAAATGTTCTGATTCCAACAGTTCTTTGTCATGGTCTTTCATGGGATCGTGGATCTCTGCTCCCATATCACCATGTACATCCCCAGGAGCCGTATTTTGGTTTCCTGTATTCACAACTACATTCAAATCCTCAATGTGACCGCTGCATCTGTCATCAGATTCATTAGATCTGCTCTGCTCCATCAGTTTATCGTCTACCCTCTCCAAATCCTTCATTTCCACTGCATCCATACAAACGTCTTCGGATCCTTCCATCTTGTATTGTCCTTTGTTTATAATGCCAGCATACCCTAAAGGTCCCGTAGCACCAAGTTATGACACCTATAAAACAAAACAAAAAAAATTATATGATTACAGATTAATAAGAAACTAAATTCAAACACCAACGATCACCACCGAGGAGGTGTACTACATATTATATATGTAAGTATCTGAGGTGTTTATGTACTAATCTGCGAACGATGGGGAACAAATAAGGGGACAGCTAATTTTTAACCAAAATTGCAGAAATTAAGATTCTTTTCCAGTTTATTTTGCCATGAAATGTGCATCTATCCTCTTCCAGTTCAATGAATAAACTATTTGGTGTTACTGGCCTAAAGACTAGCTGACATGTTCAATGAATTTAACTGAGGAGGTAGACAGTCAGTGAACCCTTGGTGACGAGTGGCAGACCCTATATCGGTTTCAGTGTTCTGATGGTTTTAATCCCTTGCTACAGGTAATCTGTGCCCAGTACACACCGTGGCCGTCACGTGCTTGGATAATGCTTCACTAGGTTGCAATTTACCAATACAGCTTTATTACCCCATACTGGCTGGAAACAATCACAGGATTTATATGCTTTAGCTGTCAGTTGTTGCTCAGCCCTGGGGGCTAGTTATCAGAGTTAACTAAAGACTAATTAGCGTCAAAGTTTGATACTCGTCAGTAGTGTGACACCAAATATTATAATATTGTCTCTGGGAGCAAGCAACGAGGGATGGCAATACGAGGGCATGCCTCCAATTTGAAGTTTCCCCAAAGGTATACATTCACTGCTGCTGTGTGCGGACAAGGCCTGTAAAACGCACAATTCAAATTCAACATGTGAAGGGGAAAAAATGGCAGCAGGATTTGGGATAAACGGGGCACTTTAAAAGACTCAAAACGCCAATTAACTAATAAGAATATTTTGTAATACATAATTCAAGATTTTAAGTCATTTCAGACAAACTTAAGTTTCCAGTTTAATTTCAGGTAGCGCTAGCACAAGGCAACTGTGCGCACGCACCACTGCCACCTTCGCCGTGTGTTCTCGGACATGAATTACATCTTTATGATGGTGGGCAGTTCATGAAATGTGCTACCGAGATCAGGAAACAATGTACCTACAAACAAATCTCTCTCTATCTATCTAGATAGAGAGAGAATTTGAACGTGATTTCTGCATGACTGTAACCAGGTGTAGATGTAACCAAGGGTCATCAAACATTGCTTTAAACAAACTGACTGGAAGTGGATTCTCCTGGGCAGAAACCGACATTAGGTGGATAATGTAACTATAATTAAGTGTTCTTGCATAGCAAGACCTCTTAATGTTATCTCACATATATTATTATAGCCAAATTTACCACCCTAACTCCTCCAACAGTTTTTACACTACATAGACAGTAATATACCGAAACATGCGGATTGTTCCAGATTGGTGTGCTATTACTTTGTGGAACGTTTCGCTGAATGGTTCACGGAATATCGTCATTTTTGTGGCAAAATTGGTCCCATAGGAATGAATGGCAAAATGTTCAAAACTAGAGTGGGAGCTGGCAAAAGCTGAAAAATCAGGACATGATTTCTAAACTGCCACCACTCCCTTATTTTCAGGCCCACCTACACAAATCTTATATCAAAACGTTCAGCTATCCCTCCTGCCACTAAACATGTCAACGGCTAAGCCGTAGTCCTGATAGTTTTCACAATATGACAATTTGTTTGCAATTCACGCCGTCCATTGACATTCATTGAAACTCCACTCTAGCCACCTCAAATTTGAAAGGCAATTTCTAAACTGCGACTGTGCCTTCATTTTTAATGTTTCAGAGACATACTATGCATCAAAATGTAGGTCTGGGTCTTGTGATTCTCACAATATAAAGCTCTTCACTGTAGGAGTTATAGTTTTTAAGATACGACCGTTAGAAGATGGCAACCACCAAAATACTCTGACCTGTCAAGGCTGCAGCAGCAAGTGATGTCATAGACAGGGCCTTTTGAACACCTGCTAATGTTTTTATAAATGTATGGTTGGAACCCTTAAGGACTGGATCATTTTTTAAGGAGCAAAGATTATGACCATTGTATTTTTACACTTTTGTGGTGTGTTTGTGTTTCATTGTACTTTTCCTTTCTCATTTACTTGTTCCCATACACCATATATTGTTTTTCAGCAAGCTTTACATACCATTATTTATATAATCTCATGTATTTTAATTTAAAAATAAAAAAATATGATGAAAAATTGAAAAAAATACATGTTTTTTGACTTTTACTTGAAAAATCTTTTACTCATCTACAAAAGCGAATGAAAAAAACTGCTAAATAGATTAAAAATTTTGTCCTGAGTTTAAAAAATACCCAGTGTTTACGTGCTTTTTTGCTTTTTTTTGCATGTTATAGGGCTATAGGTACAAGTAGGATATTGCGGTTTCAAAACATACATTTTTAAATTTATCAATAGTGACATTGTAACACTATTATCTGTCATAAATCTCTGAATAACACCCCACATGTACATATTTTTTTTAAAGTAGACAACCCAGGGAATAATATAGTATGTTCAGTCTTTAGTACATCTAGTCGAAAACACTACAAAGTAAGTATTCATATTTGTTTGTGTGTGAAAAAGTAAAAACTAAATTGAACTTAATTTGCCATTACAGTTTCAGAATCAAGTAGCATTAAAAAGACTGACATACCCCATATTTGCAATACACTTTGGTTGTCTTCTTTTGCAAATGGTATGCCATCATGGGGTAATTCTCATTCCTGGGCTACCATACGCTCTCAAAGGCAACGTAACCAACCTGGCCATTTTCAATGTAAAAATAATTGACCCATATATTTGACCTTGTAACTTTCAAAAATGCTATAAAACCTGTACATGGGGGGTACTGTTTTACTCGGGAGACATCGCTGAACACCAATATTAGTGTTTAAAAACTGGAAAACGTATCACAACAATTATATCATCAGTAAAACTGCTGTTTGTGTGTGAAAAATGCAAAAAAAGTAACTTTCACTGAAAATATCATCGCTGTGATATGTTTTACTGTTGTGAATCACTAATATTTGTGTTCAGCGAAGTCTCCCGAGTAAAACAGTACCCCCCATGTACAGGTTTTAGTGTGTCGTAGAACGTTACAGGGTAAAATACAGTGCTAGCAAATTCAATTCTCTGGAATTTCGGCCTGGGTTGGCAGGCAGGTCCCTTAAATTGCAATCAATAAAATTACTGAATTATGTAAAACTATTACATAAATACGCACGTAGAATTTAAATATATATGCATATTTATATATTTGAAGTCTACGGGTATATTTATATAATTATTTATGTAATTTTGTATATGGACGTATGTATATTTCTTATTATTTGTATTTATTTTTATATACATAGATATATATACAAATTCATTCTAAGTGTATTTTGATATAAATATATATATATTAATTTTAAAATACAGTTAGAATAAAATTTCATATAGCTATATAATTTTTTTTTATTTTTTTATTATTTTAAAAAAAAATTATTTAATTTAAATTACTTATTATTTATATTTTATAATATATATATACAATATATATAGTTATTATATATATACGTGTGTAATTTAATTATAAGTGTATTTTTATATTAATATAAGTACATATTAATATAAAAATACACTTAGTATGGCATTATATAGATGATATATAGACATATATTATATAGATATATTATATGTCTATATATCATATATACACCTATATAATTATTATTTTTTTATTACCATTAACTTTATTTTTATTTTTGATTTTACATTAGCAGGGAGACTGCCTGTCAGCACAGACAGTCCCCCTGCAGGCAGACACTAGGACACCTATTGTGACCATGTGATCGCTGTGTTAAGCGATCACATGGCCACAGGGGTCCTAATCTGCCGCGGGGAGACTGTCTGGGCTGCAGGCAGTCTCCCCACAACCGGAGCCACACTGATCGCCGCCGGGGGAACGACGGCGATCAGGTAAGTAGCTCTGACCGTTAGGACGGTTCAGGACCGTCATCGGTCGGCAACGCAAAAATGCCGATGACGGTCCTGAACCGTCCTCGGTCCTTAAGGGGTTAATGTAACTGTGCAACAACGTTGCAATTAAATGTGCTATATAAATGATAACAGTTACTCCGCCCACTCCAGTTGTAGACTACTGGTGGAGGCAAGAACACTTCACACAATTTCCCCAGAAATTGTAACTTTTCTAGTTATTATTATACACTCATATTATTATAATATTCTTATTATATTATTATATATTGTATTATTATTATTAATTGTTATTATATATTGTAATTATATTATTTAGTATTATATATTATTATCAGTCTGTCTTAGTATTATTATATATTTATTATATATTATATTAATTATTATTATTTATTATTATCAGTCTGTCCCTGCATTGTCCAATGGCACAGCCTGTGTGCTCCCACAGACTCCATGTACTCAGGCATGCTGCCATCATGGACTCCAACTCCCAGCATGCTCAGCAGGCAGTGCCCCCTCTCTCCCATGATGCTGTGCCGGTGTTGGGGCCCGCGCGCTGTGGATGAAGGCCAGGCCAGTTACCGGTTGCTATGGCTCTCAGCTCCCAGCACAGCGTGTCCGTCTCCGGCAACCCCGCAACCGCGCGGGAAAGGGAGCTGGCACCTGCTGGCCAATCCGATCCCGCTATTCTGGGAGGACGGCTGCAGCAGCCAATAGGAGGCTAGCATGTGCTGCCCGGGGAACCAATAGCGAGTCAGGAGGCGGGACATTAAACAGCCAATAGGGTGACAACGGAAAGGGCGGGAACAGAGAGCGGTAGGATGATAGAGATTCCAGGATGCAGAGATAGACGGCAACAGGAAGAGGAGCGGCGGACATCTTTGTTATGGGCAACTCATTACAAATCTTACTTGGTCACAAAGACAGCACGGTATCGTGGCTCAGAGGAAGCAGCCATGGTTAGAATAGTCAGGAC